ATAATTACTGTCCAAAATAGTGTCTTTTGACTCTGTCACAGAAGTAAAACACAGGGATCCCAGCAGGAAGATTAGTTCCTTCAATTGTCGACTCCAAAACCCTGTGATTCTTGCTGCGCATGCTCTAAATACCAACGATTCTGGGACTATTTCAAGCGTTGTGATAGAAAGAACATTTCACACATTGATTGGTCAAAACTGCCTTACGAGCTAGGTTTCCCAGAATTTTTGGTAATTTCGTCACCAGAGCCCTTATTTCGACTTACAGCGCTTGTTCTACAAGATATTTCGTCCAGCATGCACAGTTAAAAGGATCTGGGTACAAGATTTAATCTTGGAATTTTGTCGTGCATGCGCAGTAAGAAAAAAGGATCAAGTTACGAAATTTCAATCTCGTATATAAATCCCTCATTTGTTACTGTGCATGCTCTGCAAAATTTCAAAGATTAAGTTAATAGTATTTACTGCGCATATGCAGTAAGAAATRAGGGATCTATATACGAGATTGAAATTTTGAAATTTCGTCATAGGGTCGAGAGTGAGCCCAGTCTCCCCAAGCTCTTGTTTCTCCTGGTCAGCTATTTGTTTCTTGGTGCGCTGACCAGAGGAAACGCAGGCTCGCAAACGACATTCGGAGCACCATAACAAATACCATAACGCATGGTTTTCTTCTTTACTTCTATATCACTAACTCTAGCTGAATTTTATCTAAGATGTTTATAAATTATTCTTCAAGATCCTGGAGCTGATTCTAAAGTGCAAACCCAACTGTACCCTCAAAGACGTGAACAGGAAGACTGCCCTTCATCTGGCTGCTGAGTCAGGCAAGGCACGGTTCGTTGAGATGCTGGCACGCTCAGGATTGACAGCCGTGTTTGACAGAGACGACACGCTGAGGACACCGCTACATTACGCTGCCATGAATAAACGAAGGTATTAATCAAGTCAATGCAAGTGTCAAAAACAGTTTTTAGGTTAAATTGTTGAGAAGCAGTTTGAAAATAAATACGCCTTTTCTGAGATAAAACATGATGCATTTCGGTCTTCCTTGGGTACAAGCATATTTTATACTTATCACATGACTTATATGATGTTTTTTGTACCCAAGCTAGACCACAATGCATTATGTTTATAGGTCTCAAAAGGACTATCGGGTAACAGTGATAGCTCTGACGCCGCGCTTGGACAGTTTGAGAGGCTTAGAAATATCACCGACATACATCGATAGTCCCATCTATTCTCTTTTTAACAGGAAAGTCTGTATGGTATTGCTTCAGTTCGGAGCTGAGATAGACTGCCAAGATCAACACCGCTGGACACCAATAATGTGGGCGGCAAAGAGTGGTGACCAGGCCACCATGGCACTTTTCCTGGAACGAGAAGCACAGATTGACCGCTCAGACAACGAAGGGAACACACTCTTACACGTGGCCTGCAGCAATGGTCACGTAGATGTTACTAAGCTACTCCTTGACAACGGAGCCGAAATTTTACTCAATGATGACAAAATGAGCTGTTTGGATTGCGCAATAGAACAGCAAAATAGTGACGTTGTCATGGCAATAGTCAAGCACAACAGGTAAATGCAATTGTTACATTCACATTACCATGTCGTGACCGCGACCG